GGGGCGGTGGCCAGGGAGCAGGTGAAGGTGGCGCAGAGAGACAGCTGACCCAGTCTTCTGTGCCAGGCTTTGACCTGGGCTGCCTGCAGCTGACCAATGAGAAGGTAGGCGACGTGGTGCTGCCCCCGTGGGCCAGCTCTCCTGAGGACTTCATCCAGCAGCACCGCCGGGCTCTGGTGAGATGAGCACACGCAGACAGGCGGGCAGCCGGGGTTGGTGGGGGGGGTCAGCCGTTCCTGGACTGACTGCCTCCTCCCCGCCCCCAGGAGTCAGAATATGTGTCCGCCCACCTCCACGAGTGGATCGACCTCATCTTTGGCTACAAGCAGCGGGGGCCAGCTGCAGAGGAGGCCCTCAACGTCTTCTATTACTGCACCTATGAGGGTGAGCAGTGTCCTTGACTCAAGTGGGAGCCGGGGCACAGAGGAGGGGTGAGTGCGGTGGGCACAGAGGGAGTCCTGACTGCCCTGTCCTTCCTGTCTGATGCTCAGGGGCCGTGGACCTGGACCAAGTGGCAGATGAGCGGGAACGGAAGGCTCTGGAGGGCATTATCAGCAACTTCGGGCAGACACCCTGTCAGCTGCTGAAGGTAAGGCCAGCTTGGAAGACAGTGGTCAGGGATGCCCTGGCCACAGTGCTGATCGGCCACTTGCCCACAGGAGCCACATCCAGCTCGGCTTTCAGCTGAGGAAGCAGCCCAACGCCTTGCACGTCTGGACACTAACTCACCTAGCATCTTCCAGCACCTGGACCAGCTCAAGGCCTTCTTCGCAGAGGTGAGAGGAGGCAGGGTCTCGACTTCTTACTTTGTGAAATTCGTTGAATCCCGTTGTCCTTACCAGCCTCTTGGGGCAGGTGGAAAACCTAAATCAAGGTCACTGATGCTAAGACATCTTAGAAAAAGAGGTAAACATCACAGGAGATGGGAGTGCGGGTGGGATGCCTTCTTCGTGAGGAAGAGTCAGGACAAGGTGTTGACTCACCTGACCATCCTTAGGGAGACCAGAAGGAGGGAGTCCGGCCTTAGATACTCTACCTCACCTTCCTGTCTGCATCCCAGAATGCCCCCAAGTCTGACGTGTTTAGGCTCTTCTCTCCTCCTGCTAGCAGGCTCAGAGCCGTGGAGTAATGGGTTGGGATGACCACAGCTGAAACCAAGCTTGACACCCTGGAAGGATCTTCCTTGTCCATCTGGTTTCTCACTCACTTTCTGAGACGCCCTGAAGGCACACTGGTCTCTGATGCCTGTCTCTCTGAGGGACCTCTGTCTGTATGATGCCTAGCCTGTGACCCCTGGGGGCTGAGGGCCAGGGACTGAGTCGTGTTCCAGGGAGCAGGTAGTGTAGTGAGAGCCCTAGCTGGCTGCTCAGGCACAGCTAGCCTTGCTCCGCCCCCTGCAGGTCATCAGTGATGGCGTGCCCCTAGTGCTGGCCCTCGTTCCCCACCGGCAGCCCCATTCCTTCATTACCCAGGGCTCCGCAGACCTTTTGGTAAGTGCACTGGGCCGGGCCCCATCTCAGCTCCAACCCCTTTCTGACTCTGCCCCAAACCCACCTCTGTCCCCTCTTGCCCGCAGGTGACTGTGAGTGCCAGTGGGCTACTGGGCACCCACAGCTGGTTGCCCTATGACCGTAATATAAGCAATTACTTCAGCTTCAGCAAAGACCCCACCGTGGGCAACCCCAAGTAAGACAGAGGGCTGTGGACAGGGGTGGGCTCTAAATACCCTGCACCCCAAGTCATCTCCCCACCCAAACAGAATGCAGGCCAGCTGCAGGCTCTGGCCAAGATTTCTGAGGGCCTGGGCTCTCCCTTGTGGCCTGGCCTCACCTGTGGTCCTCCTCACTGGGGCAGGGTGCAGCGACTGCTGAGTGGCCCTTGGGTGCCAGGCGGTGGTGTGAGTGGGCAGGCCCTGGCAGCAGCCCCAGACGGAAAGCTGGTGTTCAGTGGTGGCCACTGGGATGGCAGCCTGCGGGTGACGTCACTACCCCGGGGCAAGCTGTTGAAGCAGCTCAGCTGCCACCTCGGTATGTGCAGTCTTGGACTCGGGGTGTGCAGGTGGGAGTAGGGTTCCAAGGCTGGCCAGGGAGGGAGTAACCACTCTGTTCTGCTGGTACCCTCCCCTCCCCTCTCCATTCAGATGTAGTAACCTGCCTTTCACTGGACACCTGTGGCATCTACCTCATCTCAGGCTCCCGGGACACCACATGCATGGTGTGGCGGCTCCTGCAGCAGGTATGCTGGGTGGCAGCCCTCCGGGGCCGCCATAGTCCAGATCTGCAGTCCATCTGCCCCTCAGTGGGCCTCTCCAGTCCTGCCCTGTTCTCTTCTCCTTCCCTCTGCTACCATGAGCAAGTCTGGGGCTCCACAGCCCTCCAGCTCTCCAGCTTTGGACAAGACCTTCACTTTTCTGAGCTTTAGCCTTCTCACTCACTCAGGGGCCAAGGTAGTGGGAGGCCCCAGTCCTGAGCCAGCTCTGGTGTTCCCCACAGGGTGGTCTCTCGGTGGGGCTGGCATCAAAGCCTGTGCAGGTCCTATACGGGCATGAGGCTGCAGTGAGCTGTGTGGCCATCAGCACTGAACTTGACATGGCGGTGTCTGGATCCGAGGTGTGTGTATGCCTGTGTCCAGGGGAGGCTGTTTGCTGGGCACTGCCCCTGGAGCTCACACACCCCTGCCTAGCACCCTAAGCTGCCTTCCTGCAGGACGGAACTGTGATCATCCACACTGTACGCCGTGGCCAGTTTGTGGCCGCACTAAGGCACCCAGGAGCCACGTTGCCTGGACCTGTGTCCCACCTGGCGCTGGGGTCTGAGGGCCAGATCCTGGTGCAGAGCTCAGCGCGGGAGCGTCTGGGGGCCCAGGTACGGGAAAGGGGCGCCCAGCCAAGATAGGGGTGGTTGGGATTCTGTCCTTGCTGACACCTCCTGCTTCCTCCAGGTCACCTACTCCTTGCACCTGTACTCGGTGAACGGGAGGTTGCGGGCTTCACTGCCCTTGGTAGAGCAGCCCACAGCCCTCGCGGTGACGGAGGACTTTGTTCTGCTGGGCACAGCCCAGTGTGCCCTGCACATCCTCCATTTGAACAAGTGAGCCCCACTGTTTATGGGTTTGTGATACTTCAGGGTGGTGGTCACTAGGAGGTGCCCCCGTGGACCCACATCCCCTTTACATGTCTGTGGACACATTCTTCAAGGCCTGTCACCTGTCCTCCCATCCCCCAATGGGGAGATCTTGCCCTGGGCCTCCCTTAGCCACACACTTGTGGGAGGTCCCTTTCTGTGTCAGGATTTTAATCGAGTCATCCTTCAAATGAGGACTGGGAGGTAGATGGGAGAATGGAGAGACATCTATCTGCTGGATCAAAGCTTCCTTGTAGTTGCGAGTTCGTATATATATATCCCCCCTCCCTCCCTCCAGACTGCTGCCGGCCGCGCCTCCCCTGCCCATGAAGGTGCCCATCCGTAGCGTGGCTGTGACCAAGGAGCGCAGCCACGTGCTCGTGGGCTTGGAAGACGGCAAGCTTATCGTGGTCGGCGCAGGGCAGCCCTCTGAGGTGAGGATGAGGGCCGGGAGGGCCTCGAACGGGATGGGGAAGCGACGGTCCTGGCTGACCCCAGCCTGCTCCTGCTCCTACCAGGTGCGCAGCAGCCAGTTAGCGCGGAAGCTGTGGCGATCCTCCCGGCGCATCTCCCAGGTGTCCTCTGGGGAGACAGAGTACAACCCTGGAGAGGCGCGCTGACAGCCTGCCCTTCCCCGCCCCGCCGCGCAGAGGGCCTCGCCCAGGAGTCCAAGGAGAGGGTGACATCCAGCCCACACTCTGGCAGGGGGTGGGCGGGGCCCCACCTCTGCCCAGCTCAGGGATTGGTGGGCGATATCACTCCAGGAAGTCCCGCCCCTCGCCGGCAGAGGGGCCTCCCGGAGTCCCAGCGCTGGCCTCAGCAGACACACAGCACTTTTTGCACAGCCTGGGGTGGGGAGCCCAGGTTCCCAAGCCCCCGTCCCGGCAGAGTACAGGGGCCGGGCCGTGGCCTTAATCCTAAGGGCGGCCCCCCGCTCTCGCATCTCAGCAATAAACCTGGACTAGTTTTGTAGCTGTTCCGCCTCTAAGCATATGTGCACGCGCGGCGTCTCAACCCGCCCCTGGCCACAGTCCCGGGCTAGCGTCCCCCTGGTCCATGAGCACCTGCGGCGACCCGTCCCTCCCCAACCACACCGCCCTTGTCCCTAAGGGCCCCGGCTGCAGTTTCTCCGGCAGCTGCACGCTCAGTCCCCCTTCGGGCTCACCTCCACGCATGTGTGCGTTCCGGGGCCGGGCGGGGCAAGACCGTGGGCGACCCCGCCCACTCGGTGTCCGGCCCGCCTCCTGTCTGCGCCGCCGCTTCTTTTACTCTCGGGCGGGTAAGAACCTGGTATGCCCAGGGACTCCACTCTGACTTCCCGGCCGGCCCAAGGCCCGGAGGCCCCGTCCGGCCCGGCTGAGCAGATCCTGGGACCCGCGGAGGGTCGGCCCCCACAGGTCAGGAGCGGGTTGGGGACACAGCTTCGGGTCTTTCTGGACGGAGGGAGCCAAGGCTGCCTCTCTGCCCCCCATTTCCAGACCCGAAATCCTGTGCAGTTGTGGTGCCGGCTTCTGGGTTGGATTGCCTGTGGGAAGTCGGGGTAGTGTGGGTGTGTGTGCATATTCTGTGGGCCTCGAGATGGGTGTGTGTGGGAGTTGGTAGAGGCTCCAGTCCCACAGCTCGGGGTGGGTCGGGCACAAGGCTTGGCTGTCTCTGCGAGCGTTAGTCACAAGCTCACCCACCAACCCGGATCCAGAAAGGGCCCCTTATGTGGTAAGTGACACAAATGTACATACACAACCTTCAGGTGGCAAGGGTCACCACAGCCTCAGTGCCAGACCCACTTGCCGACTGTGTGCTTTACCATACACATGGGCCTCTGGCCTTGTGGAGGGAAGTGAGTTTGGAGTGCCTGGGTTGGACCAGGTCGGATGTGGATGTGGGGGAATTGGAGGACCTTCCCCCAGGTCTCATCTCTATCCCTTTTCCAGGCAAAGTCCCCTCCACTGCCCAGACCAGGGTCTCTTCCCCAGGCCTCAGGAGGTAGGTCCCAGCAGGATCAGCCTTGTAAGTACAGATGGGTCCTGGATTGAGCGTTCTTCAGGTTTCTGGCCTCCAGGCCCTCTCCAAATTCCCAGATGAGAAAGGACCGGGGGGGCCTCTGGGCCCACATGCCATCTGCCCTTGCTGAACCCACCAAGGAACCCTCCTGTCCAGCCCCTGAGCAGGAGGTGAGGGCTGGACACTGACCCTAGAGGCAGGAGTGGGAGCTTAGTCACTCCAGAGACTATGCTCTTGCTGACAACTCTGGAAAGCTTCCTACCAGCTAGTAAGTCTCCACCTGGCTCTGGCTTAGATGGGTATGGGAGTCTCCCTGTGCTATCCCTGGACTCAGACCAGGGGTTTGCCATGGTCTTTGAGACAGGGTGGTTTCCAGTGTGCCCTTTTCCATCCAGAGCTGCAATATGGTCTCCTCCAGCTTTGGCCAGCTGGGGCCAGCAATATCACTTCCACCCCATTTGACACTGGAGGAAACTGGTCCAGATTGGCGACTGGGGAGATTGGGGGGTAGGTACCCAGTCCTGGAATGAATCAGGATGAAGTGAGCCAGGAAAGCGGGACAGACTACCCCAAGGGACTCCTGACTTCAGGCTTGAGGAATTTCCCCCATGTCCCTATACACAGCCCCTTCTGGACTCAGAGAAGTCTCCCAGCTCCTTTTTCTGAGTGCTGCCCATGACATTCCAACCCCTTCTCTAAGATGCAGCCAGTGGAAGCACTGCTAGCTGGCAGAACCATGCTTCACAACTCCAGCCACAGGGAAGGCATGGTGCATGTGGGTTAAGTACTTCTTGATCCAGATTTTGGGCACTGAGAGGGTAGGATGAGAGGTATCCATGGGCCCCTGGCCTTGCAGGCCATACACAAGTCCAGTCACAGGCTTTGGAATCCCTGTTTCTTGTGCCCTGCCTGCACTGGATTGTGGGGACAACTGGCCTGCAGGCAGAAGTTAGCAGCAGCATTTTCTTGCCTTTCGGATCAGTTTTATTTTGCAAAAATCTACAAGGTCTCCTCTGCACAGAGGCTCCCACAGGGACCAAAATGAATCAGTGTGCTCTCACAGAGTTGGTGGGGGAGACAGGACACAGTTTAGTGCCATAGTAGGCAGAGGAGATGCACCAGGAGCCAGAAAAGGGAGCCTGGGAGAGATCAGGAAAGACTTCCCAGAGTAGATTTCCTGCCAGTTTGTCAGATGGCAAAGGTAGACCAGCAAGAGCAGATGTCTGGAAGCCCGGAGAAGGTACATCTGGGAAGGGCTAGGTGTCCAAGCATGGCGAGCCAAGGGGAGGCTGTGGGAGATGAGGGTGGGGAACGAACCAGTCAGCTTTTGACGCCACGGTATGAACTTTTGACTCTACACAGTAGGGACTATGATTTCCAGTCTTTCTAGCAGCAAAGTCTACGTCTGCTGCCTCCTTGCCCCTGACCTTGTCTGTCCTTTTCTCCACAGATAAGTCCCGGAGGGAGCAGGACAGGGACAGGGAAGGGGTGTGGGCAGGGGCAGGGGGAGCCCTGGCCCCCGGTACCTCCTCCTCATTCCCCCCTGAGCCTCCAGGGGCCTCAGGCAGTGATATATCCCTGTCTACTGTGCCCTCCTGGCCTCTGTGGCCCTCAGTCTGCTTGCCTACGTGGCCTTCAAGTGGTAGGTGGTCTGGGCATTGCCCTCTGGTAACCTCCCTCCCCATCTGGGCTCCCAACCAGCTCCCTGTCTGTCTCAGTGAAGGCTGGAGCAGGCTGGCAGGTTCCCCCTGCTCCCCACAGCTGGTGCTCACGTAAACAAAGACAGCAGCTGGCCAAAGCTCGGACTGCAGAGCTGGGGGCCTTCAACAGGGACCAGATGCTTGGGGAGAGCAGTGTCTTCTGGGACTCTCCTAGCAGCCTGGAGCCCTGTGTCCCCAGCCAGGGTGAGCCCCTTTCCCCAAACCCTTTCACACCTACCTAGCTCTGCCCCACCACAAAGCCTGCCTAACCCTCATGTGTCCCTCATGTCTCCCATCCCAGGGCTACATCCTGAACTTGGCTGCCGGCTTTACCTCCATCTCCCTCGGCAGCAGCAGGAGGAAGTGGAACAGCTCCTGGAGGCGTCGGGTGAACCTGACAAAGGCTGGCGGGGCCTGGCGGGCCACCTGGGCTACCAGGCTGAGGCAGTGGAGGCCATGGCTCAGAGCCAGGTGCCAGCCTACACCCTGCTGAGGTACTGGGCTGTCCAAGAAGGCAGTGGTGCCACCCTCAGGGTGCTAGCAGATGCGCTGGCTGTCCTGGGCTGTGAAGACGTGGTCCGGGCCCTGGCTGAGGACTGCTCCGTGGTGTGACGCTCCACAGCCTGGCCTCTCAGGGAACCTGCTCTGGTGCTCCCACCACCCCCAGCTCATACACCTTCCCTTTCACGGGCTTCCTGGCATTGGTGACCTCGGCCTGCTGTTCTGGGGGGACACGGAAGATCCAGGCACCACTCACCTCCCCTCGCCCTACATTCCTCCAGGACAGGGACCAGGATATTGGGGGGAGGGGTTGATAGGAGCAGTCCTGCCCTCCTGATCCCCACTCCACCTCCTCTTACTTAGCCTCAACTGTTTTTTCTACTTTTGTATCCCATATTAAAGGCAACTTTGGACTACTGGCCTGGCTCTGTCTGGTTCCGTGGGCCTGTGAGACAGTTGGATAGCTATGTGGCAGAGGCCCAGAAAAAGGGTGGGATCCCTAGAAGGTGGGAAAAGCCCCTGAGTTGGCAAGCAGTGTGTTCCCGCAGAAGATGTGTGAGCTCTGCGGGCAGAGTGTATGTAGTTCACATCCTGCATCTGCCATTCACTGGCTGAATTGTGTTAGGAAGCATTTTACCTTTTTGAACTTCAGCTTCCTTAGCTGGAGAACAATAAATAGACTGGCACATTCAGAAGCCTCCCACCAAGACTCTCAGGCCTTGGGTTTGAGACCATTTTCCTGACTTGTGCTGTGACTAGCCTCAAGGGCTGGAAGCCTGCCCCACCCCTAGGCAGAAAGCAAGAGGCAGTTCCAAGGCAAAGTGAACTGCCTCTGAACTGGTCCTGGGAAGCTAGTTACCAAGGGCCTCAGGTCATCTCCAGGTGAGGAAAAGGAAGAAAGTGTTCTTTCAAGACCCATACTCCAGACTCGAAGAGGGAGGTCCAAACATGCTTCCACACAAGCCAAGCACAGGCAGGTCATCCCACCTACCTGAGGGGCTGCTGAGGACAGGGCAGCTGCAGCCAGACCACCTGCACCCCTCGCATATGCCCACCCTGAATGGAGGAGCAGGCAGGTCAGTTACTGTGCCTTTGGAGGGGGTTGCTAAAGCAGACAGGCCCTGCCTAGGAAGAAACAATGGCTGCCATCCTGGTGTCCATCAGGATCAGGGCACTTAAGAAGCACAGTCACCTAAACTCAGGAGACTTGGGTCCAGTCATGATCCAGGGCCCCGGGCTAGAGCCTGTCCCCTAGCTGAGATGTGACCTGCATTGGCTGTTCTGTGAGTACCAAACTCATCAGACTGCTGCTATTCCTATGCCTCAGAGTTTACCAGGACTGCTTAACCCTGTAAATCTTGTACTTAAAATCAGGGCAGGTTTGGAGCCACCATCATCCAGAGATGAAAGCAGGAAAAGCGTGGTGTTTGGTCAGCCATAAACAGGCCAAAGCGCTGGAGACATCACACCTACTTTGGCAGGGAGTTGGCCAGAGGGCTATCAAGGGTTAGATCGGCAATGAGGGTGAAATCCTGCATTGAGAGGAATGAACAGGTCCTGGATTAACTGGTAACTCTCTTCACCACTGAGGGGATTTGAGCCTAAAGGTTTCAAGGGGTGTGTGTTTCAAGATCTTCCCCTCCCAAACTCCAGAGGAGGTAAAATAACTGAGAATTCCTCTGCAAAGAGGTCCTTTCTGAAACTTGACAGCTCTCTGGTCACCACCCTTTAATGAAAGGCTACCTAGATTTCCTTGGAAAATCTGAAACCTGGATCCTCAGGTAAAACTATGAGTTTGACTTGGTTGCCAGCAGCAGTGCATGTGGCTGCACCTCTGCATGGGAGACCTACCCAAAAGAGAAACACTTTCTTTTAATCTGCTCAAGCGCATTAGTTGAAACATTTTCTTTACTGTTAAGGGTGGGGGGGGGGGGCGGGGGACTTCCCTGGTGGCGCAGTGGTTAAGAATCCGCCTGCCAATGCAGGGGACACAGGTTCGAGCCCTGGTCCGGGAAGATCCCACATGCCGCAGAGCAACTAAGCCCATGCGCCACAACTCCTGAGCCTGTGCTCTAGAGCCTGCGAGCCACAACTACTGAGCCTGCACGCCTAGAGCCCGTGCTCTGCAACAAGAGAAGCCACCATAGTGAGAAGCCCGCTCACTGTAACAAAGGGTAGTCCCTGCTCGCCACTAGAGAAAGCCCGTGCGCAGCAACAAAGACCCAACACAGCCTAAAAATAAAAATATGTGCTATCAACATTTCAAATGTTTAAAAATAAAATGTTAAGGGGGTTAAATTAGGGTCCCTCCATTTGATATAATAATGTGCTTGAGTTAAACAGTTTAAGGCTGCAGTACCATGGGAAAATACTTTGGCTACATTGTTAAATAGCATGTCTAATGATATGTCTTTAAAATAGGTGTTTTTCTCCTTTTTTCACAATTTCTTTAATACAAGGATATGAGATGAGTTACTGAGCCTCTCTGAACCTTAGTCTCCTCATCTGAACAGTGCCAATTCCTGTGCCTCCAGGTTGTGAGGATCAAAGGAGCACAACCTGAGCTCTAAGTGCCCAGCAGGCAGTGACTTCCAACTGCTGCCCACTCCATCCAATATCTGGCGGGTCACAGCCTCTTCCCCAAGGGCATTGCTGCAATGAGCAAAATCACCCCAGTGAGGAAGAGATGGTACCAGTCTCTGCAAAGATGGGCTGGGCCCCAGGCTGGCCTGAAACCTTTGGCCCTTCTCACTGCCCAGATAACTGGTCCATCAAGGATGGGGTGTGTCTCCACTGAGCTGTGTCCTCCAGAAGATGTCTGCTCTCATTACCTGAGCACTATACCCCTTTATCGGGGTACTCCCTCTAGGATCCAAGCCCAGTGTCAGAAGGCATGGTGGGGAGTCAGGGAACCCAAACATCAAATGAGCATTCCTGTGGACTCTGGGAACTCAAATCTCTGGAGGGAAGAGGTTCATTCCCTTTCACCAGCCAAAAGATACAAAGGGAAAGACAAGTGCCTTTCTCTTGACTGGCTTATTAACCAAAGTAAAGAAGCCCAGCGCCAGAGAGGTCGCAGGTCCACTTGCTTTGCTCAGGAGTGTGTGTGTAAGATGCCTACCTCAGTCACAGTGGGACCTGTGGGGAAGACCTGGGATAAACTCCAATCTCAAGAATTAATTTTGGACTTCACACACCTATGGCCACCACCTCTTTTCTCTCTCAGTGCCAACACTATATACAAACATGCTTGACTAGCTTTTAGGGAACACACCTGCCAAGTTCTTTAACTGATTTTATTTTTTACATAAAAAGTTCAGTAAAAATTGGATAAAGTAAAGTGATTTTAAGCAGTAAATCAATCTTATCAACATAGCACAAGGCTGGCCGAAACCACAAGGCAGCCTGCTCTGGAATATTTACATGGTAACAAATTAAACCTTGCAGGAGAACTTAAACCATCCTTACAAAGTCTTCTGTGATCCTAGCACGCAGAGGCTTAAAAGCAAAACAAAAACCAAAAACCAGGAAAAAACAAATTATTTTCAATATATTCACATATACATTAAAATATAATACAGATCGTCAGGGTAAGGGGTTGTGGGTGGGGATGCGCATGAGTCTGTGCGCTGACAGCACCGCCAAGGAGGAGACCCAGGCTTGAGAGTGGGCTCAGGCCTGGCCAGGGTCTCAGAAGGGAAGGTCTCCAGGGCCTAAACCCTTGCCTCAGATGGCCTCTACCAACAGCTCACAACCAGGGACCGCTTATTGTAGATGGAGCTCATTTTTGTGGCTTTCAGTTGAAATCTGCAGGTTTGAATTCCCCAGGGTGATGTGTCATCAGTAGCACAGCCCTGACAGTGGGGTGGGGAGAGAGGGCCCACGGGATTTCTTCTCCCCAGAGTCTCTCCTACCAGCTTGCCCGTCCTCCCACCCTGGCCCTGCAGGTCACTCTAATTCAGTGTCCTCTTTGGGTTTGTAAACAGCCCCAAACTTCTGCATGTACTTCTTAATGTACTCCTTGGTTTTGTGTTTCACATTCTCATTGCACTCCAGGTCCTCGGGGTTCTTACAGTACTTCAGCTCCTTATTCATAACGCCGTGAGTCAGCTGTCCAGGACACAGGAAGAGAGATCACAGCCACCAATCAGAGTGGAAATGATTTGAGGGGGGAAGGCCAGTCTGCTGCCTCGGGCCCCTTCTCACAAAGACTGGGAGGTGAACTGGAGGGGGAGGTTGGGGCAGGCTGGTGCTGGGATCACCAGAAAGGGGAAGCTCAGCTCTCAGAGAACCGCTACCATCAAGTAGGGTACCCTCTCTTCCCAAACCTTCCCCCTCTGTTCCTGGGTCTCCAGCCTGGGCATGTGTCAAGGAAAACTCACTTTTTATGATGAAAGGGGCCTTCTAGGAAGGTATAGTTTGCCCAGAACATTGTCAGACCACAAGCAGGGGTGAATACCTTGCGAGCTAGGTGTTTGAAATCTTCAGTTGTGGTAATTCTTCCCACTTTGCAGTCAGGTTTCCGGTAAGGGTTCAGGCACTGGACGATGAACTGGGACATCTACAGGTATGGGGAGAAGAGCACACTGCTCAATAGTCCAGAGAAGGCAAGAAAGTTGTACTGAGGAAATACTTAGAATAGGCAGTAAGCCGAGCCAGCCAATCCTTCCCTTTCCCTCACTCACACTAGCTGGTGTGGACAGAAGAATGCCAGTATGCCAGTGGGATATAAGAGAAAAGAATCCTGGATCAGCCTCAAGAGGGAAAGGGCTCCCTTGGATGGACTTAGCAAGCCTCACTTGCAGATGGAGGGACAGAGCAGCAGGACTCCTTGCTGAATCTCATGGCAGCCCCAGATTTCAGCTAACAAATCTCATGTTCTTGGCATAAAGAGACTGTAGCTAAATTCTCTGGCCCCTGGAGGCAGGGCAGAGAGGGCCTTTCTGTGCTACCAGGAGGCTCAGTGACTCCAGGAAATGCAGGCATTTTGTTACTGAAGGCTACTTAGATTCTGTAAGTGTTGCACTTCATTTGATTCATACTACATCAATGTGAAGCAGAGGGACACATGATATGGCAGCTGGTTGGAGAACATCTGGGGTAAGACCCTTTTCAATACACAAATTCCCATGTCCTCCTGAGCTATCTCTGTAGTGTCTGTCCTACCCAGTGGCTCTCAAGAGATCCAGGCACAGGATTTCTGGAAGTATTTGTGGCGCAAAGCCACAAAGTTGACCCCAGGGGAAAAAGGGAGCGAGGAGGTCAGTGATAGCCACTTCACCAGGGAGCACCATGAACAGGGTCTACCCATCCCTGAAAGTCAGTGAGTTTTCAGACATTCAAAGAACAAGGCTATATCACAAGGTAGGCACTAAATAAACAGCTGCTAGTTGGCTGGGCTGAAATGCCAATAATCAC